ATTATTAAAATTATGATAATAGTTTTTATGGTTAATGTTATTAACCTTATAAGTTTTTATTTTTTTCTCTTCTCAATTACATTAACGACTCATTAAGCATTTCACTGATTGCCTTTACTAAGTGTTGACTACATGAATGTAATTATTAAATATAACCGATTATTAGTTTCAAATATTATAAACTATTAATTTTCTAATAATATATCTTCTTATTACAGTAGATAATTTTTAAAACTTGTAATTAATTTAAAAATAATAAAATTAACACTTAAATAATTATATGTAATTATTAATTATAATTACATATTTTTCACTTTTTTAATTATTAGTTGTAAATTTTTATATTGTCGACAAAATAACAACAACTAATAATTTATTCAATAAATTACATAAAGGATAGAGCTCTGAAATTATTACGCGTTTTCAAATCTCAGAATGGTTACAGGCTCCTCGGGAAGGTATGCAGATCTGATGTCAATTATTGCTTAGTCTGATGAAGTGATAAACAATAATCCAGTCAAGTAGAAATGATATTCCGACGACTTTTTTGGTATAAATCCATGAAATTGTATTGTATTTACCGACGTTTATGACAGAAAAGGCCTACCTGGAAAATCATCCAGTTAACACATCCTCTATTTATAAAAAAAAAAAGGTTAATTGAAGTAGCCTAACTCTTATACTAGCTTTTTGTCCATCTTTTGACTTAATTTCTAATATGTTCTTGTTCAGAAATTGGAAAAGATATAGAAAAAGTATCGAAACCTTTTTAAAAGATAATAACCTTACAAATAGTAGGGCAGATGCATTCCTCATTACAGAATAGAATATATTCCAAACATCTGAAATGATTATTTCAAAAGATATATGTTACGAGACTATACCAATATTTTTGATTGAAAGGTTGCATCACTTTCATATCTTTTAATCGAAGAACAATATATATACATATGTATATTGACTATACACAACAAATATGTTGTTGTCAATTTAGATTTTAAGTAAAATTCTATATTTTTTTAGAAGTGCTGTACGAATTTCTTTGAATGAAAAAATAATAATAATAAATAATAATCATTGTCATGACTCTAACATAAGTTTAATTTTTTTTTATATTGCTGATAACACGTAAAAGCTAAAACCTACATTTCTGGAAACGAGCCTGTTGCGGTATAATTTCTAACATTCATTACACTTAGGTCTGCTTCTGCAGTATCAATCGACTCTAGTCTTGGAATGATTTGTTTTACACATTCCAATTATGATTAATATTCTACATCTTCTACATTCCAAATACCTATATTTGTTTACATTCTTTTTGGAACTCCAAATATATTTGGTGAGCTAAATTTCATTCAATATTTCAAATATCTACCTTATGATCTACCTTATATAATTGAACTATAACCCTTGCATTCGGTCTGACCATCACGTCACTCATGCATTCCAAATAATTATACTGCAGTATTTTTTTTTGCTGGTGCATTTTCAGTCATGAGAAAGCCATACCTCAACTATCGTCTTTATAAATATAACTGCAAAAAAAAAAATAATTGGAAAAATTATGATTGATTTATTCTGAAATTTTCTTTCTATTAAACATAATTATAAAAATATAGATGATAAAATAAAATTATTATTAAAGATCGGATTAAAAATTTTGAACCTTATTTTGGTTTTCTAACATTTTTGATATTTTTACTATTATCCATAAATTTAAGTAACATGCTGTGTCCTGTTTGGGAGGAGCCAAAACAGATGCTCTATTTAAAAATATAACTATTGTTTTGATAATAACCATTTTTGAAACCATTTTGTTTTCAGGTAATAATTTATATTAGGACACACATCTTCAAAATCCTTTAACAGCCTTTGTATTGTTTTATTTTCTTATAACTTTTGTTTCTATGTGTGTATAAATATTTTTTTCTAATAATGATAATAAATCAAATTTATATACTTATAAATGACATCACACATTCAGAAAGAATCTTAAATCTTACTTTTTATTGATTTGCACACAAATTTTTCTACATTCAACATTATTCTACATATAAAATCAATAGGCGCGCTCACTCACAAGCAGTGCATCAAAAACTCTTGTTTACATTCTTAATATTTCGAGACTCGTTCGAGTTGTGTATGAATTCAGAGCGTGGAAGTGTGGTATAATTTTTTGATTATTTCACCACACAATTTAACCAACTCTCATGTGCTCTCCCAACACAAAATACTTTTGGGCTTGTTGTCATAGCAACATTTTGTATACCTGTCAGCCATGTTGGTTGCTAGTTAAGTTTCTGCTGTTGTTTATCTCTTTCCAACTGAATGTGTGAGAATTTCACCTGAGATGATTTATTGAAAAATTGTACATAAACATTAGGAAATAAAAACAATTTTATTATTTCACATTACATGTTAATTATTTCACATTATTACGTTGTAAATTTAAAGTAACAACTAAATAGTTGCATTAATTAATTAATGATAAAATGTTTAATTCTTATTCCGTTGTTAATTAGATTTGCCGATTGCTTTAAGTGATGCCATGTATGTTGGCAGTAAAACGTGGTTAAAAAGTAGAATAGACTGAGATATTAATGGAATTATGCTTGATGCTATAAATTTAAAAAAAATTTAATAATAGAAATATGATTTATAGATTCCATTAAATTGTGGTATTAAATATACAATATTACGGAATTTATATTAATATATTTATAACATAATAAACAATAACTTATATGTTTGGCTTAAGGTCCGCAATGCTTTCGATTTTTTGTCATAATACTTTTAAATTTTAAATAAATATATAAAAAAATAAATTTTATATGTTAATTATGTCATGAAAATGGTTGAAAAGTATTTCTTATTTTTATAATTATAATTTTTATTTTTATAACTATTTTTGCTTTTTTTGGAAGTAATTTTTTTGGTATTATTTTTTTTTGTAACTATTATTTCGTATTTTAGAAATATTTTTTTTTATTTGTGAATAATTTCTTTCTTTTGGAAATAATTTTCTTTTTGGTTTGGAAGTAATTTTAATTTTTAATATTAATTTATTTTTGTCTAAATCTAAACGTATTTAAAATGTATGTAGGCTTAATGAGTTTCATATGAGTCCGCTGCTTATATCTAATACCATACATACTGTGCAAAGATTATATACAAACAATTAAATCATTTGATTTTGTCAAGGACTGATAGCAAATATTCGGAAGTATCTGAAACATGTCATACAAAGCTATTCTTTTCTATTGTCAGAAATAACGCAATAAAGAATAAATTAAATAATTTTTTGTGGCAGTAATTAAATATTTTGCCAAAATAAAGCAAAATAAACAAAAAAATTCAATGTTGCAAATTCAATTCAATGGGTTTCGGATTAACCCAAAAATTTATTTTACTGAAGATTTTAAAGTTTTTTTATACGATTATTTGCATTATTTTCTATCTTCAGCTTAAGAAAGTATGAATTTTTAGATTTCAAATTTACCCCGCTATTAGTCCCCTTTCGAAGTCTTTGACAAGATATGTGTTTTGATTAGCAAAGGGAGTAATATATAAGGAGCAAACTTTTAAATTCAAAAATTCATACCTCCTGAAAATAAAACATAAATAAAAATAAAACTCAACAGTTTTCAAAAAAAGGAAGCTTCAATATGTATATATTGTATATTATTATCGAGTTATATTATTAATTATATATAATATTGTAGTATATAGTTCATTAAGTTAAAATTAGTTTTTGAATAATACCTTCTCATTGATACATTATATTAAAAGTAATATCAGTTCCTGCAGAACTATTGACTTCGAAACATGAATCCATGAAAAAAAAGATTTTCTACCTACTGAAGACTGAGGGAAACATCATATTTTGAGGTATGAGTAGCAATTAACACGGATAAACCATAAAAAATTTAAAAATTTTTACTTAGTGCGTATGCCGCACTAAAAATCTTTGGAGTGCAGTAGCTGTTTTATTTATTTTTTATTATTCTGTCTAAATATGTTTTATACGTCAGGTTACTCAAAACAAAACCTGAAGAACAAAAAAAAAAAGAAAGGAAAGCACTTTTTTACGCAAGTATAAATAACCAATTTGCAGATAGCAAATTTTAATTTCCGAAATATAAACACTGACTCACAAAAAATGAACACAGGTACCGTTGAAAATTTGCCATAAAAAACACAAAAAAAAAGGAATTTTACAGATTTTTTTTATTTCACATTTTTTTTTTTTGGAAAAAAAGATTTACAATCCATTATAATAAAAAATATTGCAAAGAAACGCACGCAGCAGATACCGAGTTAAGAGTATTGCCAGCGCGAAGTCCAACTGTGCCGGAATAGCTGGGTTGCAGCAGTACGTCTATAGACTACCGTGTTTTCGTGCCAGTGTACTTCACCCTTTGAGGCACTTGCTCACTGCAAGGGGCGCGTAAGGTGTGCAACTGTTTTGGCAGCCCGTCTAATTTAGTGTAAAAAACATTTCTTCTCTGACTAACAACATTGTTGCTTCTTCTTATTCAACTTCTACTTCTGCTATCGGAACCAAGTCATACAAAGTGTTTTCCTTTTCTATTGCCAGAAATAAAGCAAAAATATTTAAAATTAAACAAAATAAAAATGTTGCAATTTTAGATTTCACAGATGTCCTGCAGAGCTTAACGAAATCATAGATCTTTGATTCGTGTACTTTTTTTTTGGCGATTGTGATTTTTTAACTGTTTACACAATCGATTTAGTAAATCACCAAATATATTGGTATATATATAAACGTAGGGTTGTGTCATGTAAATCACAAAAAAAATATATATTTTTCATTAATTGAACTATAAGTATCCATGGCCCATCCATTATTTTTTTCCCTCTTAGAACAATCTTCCGTTTCTAAAGATTCCGATTTGTATTTAAATGACTAATTTAATAATTTGTAATTATAATATATTTTTACCATTTATTCATTATTTAATTTAATTCATTTATTTCAGGTCCGAATGGTTGCCCACGTCGTCGCGGACGTCAAACATACACACGCTTCCAAACGCTTGAGCTGGAAAAGGAATTCCACTTCAACCATTACTTAACCCGGCGGCGAAGAATCGAAATCGCACATGCACTCTGTTTGACAGAACGTCAAATAAAAATTTGGTTTCAAAATCGTCGCATGAAACTGAAGAAGGAGTTACGTGCAGTCAAAGAAATAAATGAGCAGGTGAGTCATAAGACTACTTTAGTTTCTAAGACCTACAAACAGATTATACGAAGTAGACTTGATGATTAAAAAATGTAAAAATCCTTCATGAATATATCACAGTAATGGTGTAACTTCTCTAGTTTCTTATTCCATTGCTCTAAAACTAAGTCTAATATTTTCTGACCCCCAATAGAAGATTTACGAACTGTGAAGAAAGTGAGAACAGTTACTATAATTTGTTGTAAATGATAGGGGAGAGAAGCGAAAACTTAAGCATCTCTATTAATTAGTTTAATTTAGACTTAATTAACTTTTATTTACTGATAAAGATTATAAATGAGTAAATTTTAAGTAGATGTTATTTAATGTCTAACCTTTTATTTATGTATATAGTATAGATGAAAGTATATATGAAACCGTCACGCCTTACTAATATGTTGAAAAAGAATATGTTGGAGAGTATATCTTTCTCTTTATTTGCTAATTCGATTTTGAATATTTGTGATCATATAACATACTACTATATTGTTTAATTAGCTTTTGATGAACACAATCACAAATTTTTTACGATTTATGTGTATTGCTCTCTGCATCTAGATGTATTTATAAGGCTGCCAACCTCTCGTATTTGGGTCCATTGACATATATTTTGCAGCCATGAAAATTATTTCCTACCAATACCGCGCTTCCATTCGCGGTACAACCATCTTTTAAAGCATATCAAAAATTCCAGTGGTGCTTTGATATCATCCAACAGTATTCATAATTTAAACGAAAGGTGTACGATTTAATTCTTTCTGACAGTTCTTTTAATGCATTGTATCTAAATGTTTTATTATCTTTTCCATATATCTGATTATAAATTTATTCTGTATCCTTATAAGATTATTGACGAAGTCCTAGGTAAGTGGTATTTAGTCCTTACTTAAGTCTTACAGATAAAGATAGAAGTCTAATTATAGATGGGTAAAGAATTTTTATTATTATCAGAATGTAAATTGTGGATTGTGTGGATGTGAAAGCCGTATTTTTTTCTTTCAGAGTTGTGAAAAAAACAGCATTAAGTCTGGTTGAAACAAATTGGGATCACTTTTAAAATATGTTATATGTTCAAACATAAGGGATATGTTTTTTGCTGTGTTGTGTATTATATGAAATATAAAAACTCTCAACACTAAAAATTAATTAATGGTCAGCAATGGTCAGCATTTTTTATCTGATTGCTTTGATATATTGCAATTTGTTACTATTTCTGCTCATATGATTTTAACGGATAACTGGAATTTTGCAATATATTTCCAGTGAAAACTCACAATAGAGTGATTTTTGAATTTGGTAGCACTAAAACTCTGAACACTAAACTGACTCTGAATATTTTAAGTGCATTGTTTTTTGCTACTCTCAAAGAAAAATGTACAGCTGAAGTTAAAAGTATTGTGTGTATTTAATATGATCATTTTTATTTAAAAAAAAAAATTAAATTATGATTAATTATTAAGTAATTTGTTAATTATTTTATGTGATTAGTTATTAAAATTTGTAGTTTAATAATTTTATTATTTTTTTTTCTTAATTTTTAGGCACGTCGTGATCGTGAAGAACAAGAAAAAATGAAAGCTCAAGAATCTATGAAATCCGCCCAACAAAATGCTAATAAGCAAGCGCAACAACAACAGCAACAACAACAACAGCAGCAACAACACCAGCAGCAGCAACAACAGGATCATCACTCCATCATCTCACACAATCCAGGACATTTGCACCATTCTGTGGTAGGCCAAAATGATTTAAAACTAGGTTTAGGAATGGGAGTCGGTCCGGTAATCGGCAGTAACTTGGGTATGATGAGTGGACTGGATAAGAGCAATCACGACTTATTAAAAGTCGTTAGTAAAGTAAACTCATAAATTTATAAATTTTTTGATAATCTAAAGGAAAAATTAAAAAAAAAACTTAAAGAAGTGTTCAATGCAACACAAAAACAAATAAATTTATAAACTGAAATTTATATACGTAAATCATTTACATAGTAAATAGTTATATAAGTCTTTTACTATATACACACACATGCTGGTATATATGTATATGCCTACTTCCATACATAAAACTACATATAGATATATATGTATAAATATATATATATATATATATAAACAAAATGTTTCTTTATAAATTAAAAATAATCCTTACACTTGCAAGTACATAGTAAAGAAAGAAAAAAAAATTAATTAAATAAAAATATTTATATATAAGAAATGATTAAATTATTTAATTATTAAAGTGAAAGCGTTTATATTTGAGAATAGCGCTATAGTTCTTGTGACTGGATTAGTGTTTAGTTAAAAGTTTATACTATATATTAAAAATTAAATTAAAATAAATTAAATTAAATTAAATTAAATGTGAAATGTGTAACTTACAAATGCTGTTTTGAAGGTGCGGCGCATTTTTTGCAGCATTATTTTCTGTGAATTATTATACTTTAAAAATAATTTTAAAAATTACATATAATTTAAAAAATAATTTTAAAAATAATTTGTTTTTAACAATAACTATAACTAATTTTCGTACATTATTAATAATTTTTTTTTAATTGTTACATAAAATTTATTTCAACAATGCCATATATTTTAAACTAGATTCTTATCGTATAAGCTATTGATAAATATACATATGTATATTTAAACATGAAAATATTTAAATGCATATATTACTAAAAATATTTTAATATTTACATAAAGATTAATAATGAAAAAATGAAAAAAAAATAAATTTAAAAAAAATATTGTATGTAACATACATAAAAGCATAATCAACAACAAAATACGTAATAAATTAACGTTTGCCAGTGACTACATTTTACTTAATTTTAATATAAATAATTCAGTAAAAATTATATGCAAAAAACAAAAATTAAAAAAATTAAAAAAATCCAGAACCGTTGATAGAAGCAAAAGATACATATTTGCTGCGAGTGCTAAAGTTGTTTAGCCTGAATAAGTTTTAGATAAGAACATTGGCAGCAATTAGCATTAAGTTGAAACAAACAATCTCAAGATACGTAATAGTTTTAGGGCCAAATTATTGTACTATATTATCTAAACAATAAGTATCTAACACATATAAATATATTATACATGCATAAATTATAAGAATGGTTATAAGTATATATTGCATTAATTAACAAAAACAAAGGAAGAAAAAAAAAACAAAACAGAAATTATTCTTTTCCAAAAAAAAAACCGCATATATTTCCGATTTAAACCGAGAACTACTTAACGAATAATCTAAACTCAGTATATTTTTTAAATTTCAAATTTATAATTTTTTGCTAAATATTTAAGCATTTTGCCACACTGCAGCCAGCCATCAAGACGGGAAAATAAATCTGATCTGTTGTCAAATGATATCTTAATTAAGTCGAGCTATCGAAGTTGTTGATGCAAATTTAATTATTTTTTTTTGAATATAATTTGTTGTCTAAATTGCTTTCGATTCTTTAAAGTTATTATCATACGATTGTTTACTCTGTTCAATATCATATTTTATATTATTTAATATATTTGTTGTGTTTCCAAGTGCTTTAGACTGTCAAACTGTACGTCTTTTTAATTATACATACTATATACTATATACTATATACATTGGATTATGTTAAAATTGTTTAAAAATTTTTTTAAAATTTTACATTTACTTTTTACATTGTTTAATTTTTATTAATTAATGAATTCATGCTTTAAGTTTTACTTAATTCATCTGTCCACGATTATATACTTTTGTTAATTAGTTTAAATTAATTTTAAGTTTATTATGTTTTAAGCATAGAAAAATACTTAGGCGTTAAAACATATTGAAAATTTGTTAAAAAACAAATACTTAATTAAAATTGTCATACAAAATAATTAAAAAAAATTTTTGTTTCATTTATTTTTAATTTTAAATTAAGTGGTTATTATTTCTTTATTTCAATGTTAATTTTTTTTTGTCGAAAATGACGGGTTTTATGGCGAAAAGTAATTATTTAAACGTAAGAAAGGTTCGAACCACTAATGATGAATAGTACATGGCAATAATCGAAAGAGCTAAAGTATGGTCAGCCAAACTTCAATAAATTAAATAAAATTTTTGTTGTTGTCTTTTCATTTTTATTCGAACCCTTCTAACTTTTAAGTGGTTATAATTTTGGAAACTCTTGATTTATATTACAATTATTATTGACGTTTTCAGTAACTCAGCGAAATAACTTTTTCAGAATTATTATTAATATAAAAATAATCTACATTGAGTTTTAAAATTATTTTTAATTTAAATTTGTGAATTTATTTTTTATTATTTTTTTCTAAACGTAACAAAAAGAAAAAACTATTGAGTACTAATGACTCATGTAAGGAAAGTAAATAAACTAAAGGTTTATGGTTATGGTTATGGATAAGGGTTTTTTAACTCTGTCTAAATGCTTTCCTAAATACTTCCTATTATAAAGAGTGCCATAGTGCACCGGGTCTAGTATAATCAATTTTACTAATTCTGAAAAATTCTAATTAGTTAATTTTTATAGAAGTTACAACTCTTCATGGAAATCCCTGATAAGAATCAGCTAAAGTAAAGTATATCTCATTGAAGGATTTAACAATACTTAAAGAAATTGATACTTTTTCATTTAAGTACTTTTGAAAACTACTCTTTATCCAGCGTTTATACTGGCTACACCTGGGCAAGATTTTTGCAAGCCCTGTTCCATCTTCCTGCTTTTGCATTCAAATTTTTTTCTAAATATAATTCAAAAATAATTATAATAATAATAAATCTTGACAATGTCTAGCTAGTATAACGTCCACTAGCGTCTACTCAAAAGAGTACACTTCGGTAGTAACATTACCGATTTGTGCTGTTAGTACTTTTAAATTTTTATGTGACTTAAACCAAGTGATGTTCTATACAGTTGTTCGTATCATTTTCATTCCACTTTTTCTCGTACCCTCATGTATATTTTCGGATTTGTCAATAGCTTGCTAGAAAGTTGCACTGAAAGTTGTCCGTAGAAATTTTTGACAAGTTCGAAAATATCATATATATAAAATATATAGTGACAAAAACATTTCCAAAAATTGCCAAAGACTTGGATTAAAAAAGGTTGGATTAAATGTATGTCACTAATATTCTTTTTACATGGCACAAACAATCTCAATTTTGATTTATATTGTGCTTTTTCGGCATGTTCTCCTTAAATTGTGTTCACACGGTAAATCTCAATCTTATCATGATTTTGATTTTTATATTTGTTGTTGGTTGATCTTTCATTTTTTAATAGTTGCTTTTATAAACGAAAATGTCTAACTTTAATATTTTGTCAGTATTTTGTTTCCTTCTGCATTACTTTCAGAAAATTGTTCACAGCATCGTTCAATAATTGGATTTTATAAATCTAATTTTAATCTATTGTTAAACAAATCACAATTCGATCGTAATTTTTCTGTCACATTTCTATATCTAAACCGATTGCAATTTGAGCTTAAGTTTTCAACTAAGAGCATAGAGCGAGAAACACTAAACACTAAATTAGGATTACTCGTGCCGTGTGAATAGGTTCGTAATAAATATGTTAGTATACAAATGAACTTAGTGTCAACGAAAAAGTCAATATTGTGTATATTTGTGTAATATTTGTGTTTCTTATTTGTGTTTCAAGTACTTCTCTTTCAATACCAAATATTTTCTGTTTCAATATCAAGTAGTTTGATTTCGTTTTATCTGAGTAAAAACTATTTTTGTTCTTTTATTGGGGATTTCATTGTATTTACCTGTATTGAAATATCCTTAATAATTTATAATTATGAGATATACATATATATAATTTCTTCAGATATAAACTTATTATTGATTGGGTGTAGCTTTATGATAAGAAAAATTAGTAGTATATGAAGCAGAACTTATCTTCAAATGCAGTCTTCACTTCGATCTATTATATTATTTGTTAAAATCCTTAAAATAAAGATATTATCGTTTTAAAAATTGTACTTAAGTACAATTAAAATTAGTACTTAAGTACTTTAAATTATTAAATTGCATTTTAACATCAGTTATGACGGTAGTGACTATTTTCTTTAATAGAAACTATTGTATTCGATACCTCTCACATAAAATTATTAAATCTAAATTTAATTGCTCTTAGCTATGATTAACTATGACTTACTTTTGGTGTCAATATATATAAACTTCGCAAGTATTTATTCATTCAATAAAAATTAAACAAATAATTTAATTTATTGAAAATGCTTATAGTTGCTAAACATTTATATAGTAAACAACAATCTTTAGCAATGATCTGTTCACCTTGCTAATTAATAAAACTCTAAAAATTTTCAATGTTAATAAACTTTTATTCAACTTTTTACAGAGAGAAAAATCGAAACGTTCTCATCAATCAAAACAAAAACTTAAAAATATTTGAAATTGAATTTTACTTTTTAAATTCAATAAATGCACAGCCAACTGGGTCGCCACAGTACCCCCTCCTAGCGATGGAGTACTAGCAACAACGCGACACCACAACTAAGTCGACAACACCACTCTTAATCACGAAATTCCGCTAACCTTGCTGGGAAACGCACTACTCTACCAGCTCGTGTCACTTTCGGAATCGGCAACAGGGATTCACGCCTACAATCACCAGAAGTCACTAACTGATCACCATTCAACAGCGCTGAAGGCTGACGCGTTTCTGGAACAACCTGTTCAAGATCATCACACGTTAAGTACGCCGCCTTCAACCTATCCTTCGAAACAGTCACCTCTCTCCCACGGCAAACAATAACAGACGTCTTCTCACTACGACTCAGCACCTCAAATGGACCTTCGTAAGGCTGCTCAAGTGGAGCTCGAGCACGATCCACTCGAAGAAAAACGTGCTTACAATTAATAACGTCACGCGGAACATACACAGATGGATGACAATGTCTTGTT